GAGTTCTGGGGCTGGGCCTGATCTAACAGCCAACAGCCAAGTTCAAGATGAAAGCCCATGGCCTGAGGTCAGAGCCAGCCAAGCACAGCATTCAAAACTGGAAGATTCTGTTTCTTTTATAGGACAGATTATAAATATGGCAAAACCCCAGGAAAATACTTAGAAGCAGCAGTCATCAACCCCCTTTCACCTCCCCCCACAATAAGAAGCCCCCTCTCCAGAACATTTCAACACTTGCTAATTTCTACCCTCGGTCAGTCTCTACTACCATGCCGTCTGTAACTGGTCTGAGGGCTCTAGTAAAATTCTCAAAATCATTCGATAAAAATTCACTTTACCTGTTTAAACTCTAACCAGAGCAGTTAACTAAGGCACATTTATCAATCCGGAAAAAAAAAATTAGGAGGCGCTGCCTGGACTTTGAGCAAAACATTAATTTAGGGGGGAAAAAAAGAGCCTTTGGGAAGGGACCCTTTTCTTCCATTTCCTCCACCAAACCCACTTGTCCGCTCTCCATTTCTCCATCCCTAGAAGGTGAGAGTTCACATGTGAGCTGATGACGCGGGGGCCTCCATGATTCTGGACAATCAAAAGACCTGGTGTGTTCCCTTTACTCACAAAGGCATTTAAATAGACGCGTGCACTTTTACAATTTCCAACACGGCCTGACCCAGAAGAGGTTTTCATGTTAACCCTCGATTCTCCCAAAAAAATCCAATGAGTGTGGCTCATTCTGAGCATTTTGGTCAGATGTAATTTTACCACATGGCTGTATTTTTCATATTTTAGGAGGAGGATTAGTGTGAACAACAGGATGTGAGGACCTCAAAATTGGAATGAGCCTCGCTGCTGAACTGGAGCGGGTGCAGAGTAGGTAGGGGTCCAGAAAAACAAAAGGGAGAGAAAACCTCCCCAGGATAACACAGTTTGCAGCTTAGACAGTGAGGTCAGCAACATCCAAGAAGCTCGTGGGAACTGGTCATCTATGTGAGCAGTCTCGGAAAGCCAGAGTTAGGGCTGGGGTGCCCCAATGGAGGGACAGCCTGGGGTGACCCCTACTTACCATACCCCCATGAGACTTGAGCATCTCAAGAACCACAGCACAAAGCAATACCCCGTTCTCTTTCCCCTTTTTTACCCTGCTAAACCCTCCTAATTCTGAGATCCCGCTCTGGCTTGAGGTCACCTCCTCCTGGAAGCCCTCCCTTACCCCTCAGGCTGGACCTGGGGTTGCTCGGTAAAAGTCCCTCTTGAACACCTCTGCGGGGCCCTCAGAAACCATTGTCAAGGTGGGTTTATTCATTCTTACCTCCAGCTGCCAGCCAGATCTTGGCTGTGTCTTAATTCACCTTTGCACTCCCAGCACCTTGTTCAGTGTCTGACACACAGTGAGTGCTTAATAAATGCTTGTTGACTAATTTCCATGTACTTTGGCATACAACACACTTAGATTTGAAACCTGACTCTGCACTATGATACTGGCAATATGATATCATTTTTTTCGAGCCTCATACTCATCTATAACTGGGGTTGATCACCACGATTAGATTAAAATAAGAATGTATGCGAAGTGCTTAATGGAAGCCCTGGTGCTTGGTGAGCTCTCAAATCCTTCCTGTTTATGATCAGTGCACACCAGAGGCGATGGCCGAGAAAGACTCATCCTTCCCCTTTACCCCAATCCTCTGCATTTTTGTGCTTTCAAAGGAGTGGGATTCAGCACACTGTCGCTTACTTTGTTAACGGAGGAGGTGGCGGCACAGCCAGGCACAGCACGGAGGAGCCTGCGTGCAGAAGCCTGTTCTTGGGGGAATGGAAAATAGAATTTCCCAGCAGACCAGAGTCCAGCTGAACCAATTTACTAAACTCAGTTACAGACCAACTACTGAACAGCTTCACAAGAGGAAGGGCAGGGGTGTGTGAGGAGGCAGGCAGCTGGTCCCCACCCCAGGCCATACTTTCTGGATGTGTCACCAAAGCCACTCACTCTAACTTCCCTGACCTTCAGCGTCCATCTGTAAATAGGTAAGGGGGCTGTACGGAGTACCTGAACTAATAATACAGGTAAAGCACTTGGCCAGTTGCCTCGAGCAATGTGTGTACTACAAGTGCAAGTGACAGGTTGGTCTCCTAAGTTATATCTCTATACATCTGGCTGAATGCTGCTCCTTTACTTGACCCTCACCAGGCCCTCATTTGGCACACGAGAAATTTAAATGGCTTGATGAGTAAATGGCCAAGCCAGATGGCAAAATCGGATTGCACCCTCTCATAAAACGCAGATACTGCCCACAATGCCCAGCATTAAGGGGATCAGTGGATGCTAACTCTCCTCACGGGAGACTCTGCAATTTAGGAAGAGGCTGGTGGACAGGGTCACCCAAACCCTGGTGGAACGAAGGTCACAACAAAGGATTCAAAAATGATTCTGAAGGCAGGAAGGAGGATGACCACGTGGTACAAGGCTGGTGGGGCGCACACAGCATATGAAAGTCAACCTCTGCCTCAGCTCAACCACAGCTTGAGCAGGGAGGAAGCACCTGACAACTCAGGGCCTATTTCCAAAGATCTAAAGAAAGGTGTGTAAACTCGCTTTCTTACAAATCTGAAAGCTAAGTTTCCAGTGTGAGAAAAACCCCAACCTAGACTGCACCACCCCCACACCCTTCCAACAACCCTTCCCGAGAGCCTGCCCCCACCCCAGGAATTCCTAGCAAGGGACTTCTTTAAATTACAAAGGTGATTCAGAACTTCAGGTGGAAAATGCCCAAACAACCCAAATGGAAAGATTTTTCAGTTTTCATTTTCCCTTAAACCAATTTCTGGCCTGAGGCAATGCCCACAGTCGCATCGGAAAGCCGAGCCCCAGCAGACTTCTGGAGACTAAAAGTAACGCTAACAAAATGCTTCCACTAGTTTTCATTTCTTGGGTTTTTCCTATGAAGAGAAGAGACTTGAGCATTTGGAGATGATTTGAGTTTTTGGCTGAGGATGGGGACAGGGCTATCCATAATCATCTCTAAATCATGCTGGCCAAATGCCCAAATCCATTTTCTAAAAGTTACCTGTCTGCTTTGGGGATAGCATTTAACAGGACCTCAAAATAAGAGACATTTTGTTTCCCACACACCTTAAGAAAGCTGTCTAACCCCCAAAGCTCCTACCACCAGCTGCACCAGGCCGCCTCGCCCCGCCCCGACCCCCCTTTTCCCTTCTCCTCATGTTTTGAAGTTTATTTTCCCACATTCGGCCTTGAATTCTTTCCTTCCTTCCCCCTGCAGTGGTTGGTGGAGGAGCAGCGAAGAGGGAAACTTCGAGGGCAGCTCGATTCTTTATCATACTTGCCTCACTTCTTCCCCTCTAAACAAAGCCCTGGAAGAAACTAAACAACAGCTCGTTGTCCAGAAGAATTGTTTCCTCAAGGGAAATTATAAAGTGACCCCTCCCCAACACATGCACACAGGGCAGACCCAGCCAAAGGAACCCACGTCACCCCAGAACTTCTGCCATCACAAGCTAGCTCACCTTCTGAAGTTCATCATCCTTATCAACCTCACACACCACCAGCGCACCCCCCCCCCCGGCCCCCCTGCAACCCTCCCCACTGAAATTAAACACCTGACCTGCTGGCCTAAGCTTGCCCTTTCCAGTGGCCCCTGAGAGAACAAGTCTACCTGCCCAGCTGCCCGGAGGCACTAATATGCTCACTTGTGAATGTCTAATGATTTGGGGACAAAAAAGGAAAACACAAGCAGCTTCATGGTTTCCAATGTTCCAACCTCCCAAGAGTTCGGGGCAGGAAAGACAGACAAGGACTGGTTCATTTCCGGTTTACAGATGGGGAAATCAAGGCCAGAAAAATGAGACAACCAGACAACCATAACATATTGGAGGACCGCTATCGATTAAATGCTGTTCCTCATCAAACCTCCTTTATGGCATCTTACACCCCAAGAGAAAATGTAACATCTTAGATCAACTTCCCCTATTCCACCCCACAGTCTAGAGCCCTCACGGAATCTTACTCTGGTCCAGGTCATTTCAGTGGAGGGATGCCATTAGTGCAGGCCAAGGGCGAATGGTTGAAGCTAAGAGCCTTCAGGAATCTGGGGAAGAGGGCCTCTATTCCCAGCGAAAGGTCGGTTTACCCCACTAAAGTCAATGCCATCCATAGGGCTTATGAACCAGAAGAAACTCCCAATGCTAACACAGGTGAGAAACTCTCCCCACCACCTCCCACCACCTCTCACTCTGCACATCCTCTTTGTACCCACTCCAATGGACTCTCTGGGTTTTGTTCTTTTGTTCAACCTACTACTTTCCAAAGTTTAATTCCAAGCCTTGAATTCTTTGGAGTAAGCCTTCCCTGATAAACAAATAAGCTACCTCGGAAGCCTGAGCGCATCTCCAGTATTCCAGTCACCAGCCCCCATCCCAGTGGCTCAGGCTCGCAAAGCCCCTTACCCGACTCCTCAGCCCTACTGGGAGGAGGGGATCTTTGCTTAGGCTGGTTCTGAGAACTCGCCCGCGACTCTGCCGGGCTCACATTCCCGAAGAAAGGCCGTGCGGGAGCGGCACTGGCCCCGGAGATGGGAGGTGGAGAAGCTGGGGCGGGGGTGCGACACCCTGCTCGGCTTCCGAACTCCAGGAGCGTCTCCAAGGAAAGATAAATGCTTCTATCCACCCCACAGCCTTCCTCCAAGGAGGGAGGTACCCACACCCAGCCACTGACTGCAGGGCCCGGTTCACCCGGAGGTCAACCCTAAATTCTTCTCTCTAGACAAACTGGCTTCCAAAGAGCCTCTGCGCGTGGGTGACTCCCGTGTCCACGGGTAATCGAAAGATACCAGCAGCCAGATCCGTGGTAAGACATTCTCTCCTGTCACTCCCATGCCAACCCACAGGAACTGAGGGTCATCCAAAGCTGTGAGGAGTGCCCTTCAGCACTCCTAAACCTGCAGCCAGCTTCTGGCGTTTGTACGTGTAAAGCGGCGCCTCACCTGCAGGATCTTGTCCAGTCCCTCCTGGCCTAGACACGGGAATTCCTTGAGTAGATGCAATTTCTGTGTATAGTAGTTTTTCTTAGACTCTTTCCAGTGCGGCTCCTCCAGCACCTCGAAGATCGCCGCACCGATGGCCAGGTAGAAGATGATGGCCGAGGTGAGCAGAGGGCCCCTGTCCACCATGGTTCCCGAGAGGCCGCCTCCTCAAGAAAGCGTCTCCTAGCCCCAGTGGCTCCGGGTCCACCGGCCCTGCAGCCTCTGGAAACAGCTGTTTGAATTTGGAGCTCCGCATGCGCAGTGCTCCGTATTCCCAGCGAGGTTCTCCGAGCAAGTTGCTCCTCCGAGTCGGCCCCCTGAGCGCTGGGAAGTGTGCGTGGCCCTGCTCACGCGGGCTGGGGATGAGCACACACCTAGGGGATGGGGGTCGCCCTGGATTACAGTGGCGAAAGCAGCTGGGGGAACTCAGGGCCAGACTCTGGGAGACACGTGGGCCACCCTAGGAGAGCTGCAGCAGTAAGTACCGCGCCCGCCTCCGCGCGCCTCTTTAATCAGCTCCGAGCGCACACTGCCCGCCCGCGCCTAGCGCCCCCCCGTGGGGGAGGGGCCGACCCGGGCCGGCCCCTCGCCAGCACCGCCCTCGCGCAGACCACGCCCCACGCAGTCAGCTGGGTTGGTCTTCAACACACCGTGTGCTTCCTCGTGTCGGTGGGTGCCTGGTGCCGAAAGCCTGAGCGGTTGTGGTCTCTGGGACTCGCATTTGGTACTAGTACTGGTGTATTAAATAAAATTAAACGTGTTAATGGCCGGGATCAGGAAGTTATTACTATTGCTGTTTTCACTGTAATTCGGTTTTAATTTACTGATGTTTCTCCCAAGAAAGCTTGATACTCAGTCTCTCTGTCTCACGCACCTTCCAATAATTATACGCCTGGGGAAAGGGGATCAGAAAGGGACTGGGGAAATTGTAGAGAACCAGGACAGCAGGCATTAACCCAGCCACAATGGTGTGACCTCTCAGTCTGGCCCAGTCTCGCCTGCTCTGGCGTGAGACCCCCACACGGGGAAGGAGCAGTGTAGGCAGCACTGTGCGAGACCCCTCCCTTACCCCACCCCCACTACGTACACATTGTTAGCTTTAGGAGAACACCTCTTTGATACTCCCAGGCCTATTTAAAGTTGTAACGCCCCCCGCCCCACCACACACACACATGCACTTCTGATCCCCCTTATTAGCTATATTTTCTTCCTGGTACTAAATTTTTCAAATATACTATATAACTCTAATATACTCTACAACAGTAAAATGACAGATTGTGAATGGGGAGTCTGGATTGTTCGATGGCATTCCCGGGGCCTCTTACATAGTATACACTTATTAGACATATGAGCAATGAAAAAGTAAATAATAGCCAAAAACATATTTGTTAAAAACACATCCAGTGGAAGTTACAGCCAGAGCAATTGCGCAAGAATGAATGAGTGAATGAATAAATGGCATCGACATCAGAGAGGAAGAAGTAAAACTGTCACTATTTATAGATGACATGATAGTATGTGCAGAAAACCCTCCTAAAGATTCCACCAGGCCCTGGCAGGTGTGGCTCAGTGGATTGAGCGCTGACCTGGGAAATAAAAGGTCACCAGTTTGATTCCCAGTCTGGGCCCATGACTGTTCTGCAGGCCAGGTCCCAGGTTGGGGGCGCAAAAGAGGCAACCACACATTAATGTTTTTCTCCCTCTCTTTCTCCCTCCCTTCCCCTCTGTCTAAAAGTAAATAAATAAAATCTTTACAAAAAAAGACTCCATCTAAAAACAGAGCTAATCAACAAATTCACTAAAGTTATAGGATTAAAATCAATATACAAAAATAAATTGCACTTCAACATACTACAAATGGAGTATCAGGAAGAGGAACTAAAGAAAACAATATCATTTATAATAGCATCAAAAAGTAAAATAAAATACCTAGAAATCATCTAACCAAGGAGGTGAAAGACCTGTGCACTGAAAATTATAAGATACTGATTAAAAGAAATCAAAGAAAACACAAACAAATGAAAAGATATTCTGTGGTCATGGATAGGAAGAAGTAATATTATTAAAATATCCATCTAACCAAAACAATCTACAAGTTTAGTGCAATCTCCATCAAAATTCCAATAGCATTTTTACTTTCTTTTAAAAAATTACTTTATTATTGTTCAATTACAGTTGTCTGCATTTCCCCTCCACCACTCCCTCCTGCCCCCGAGCCAATCCAATAGCATTTTCAAAGACAAACAATCTCAAATTTATATGGAGCTACAAAAAACCCCAGAATAGCCAAAGCAATCTTGAGAAAAGAGAACAAAGCTGGGCATCAAAACCCCCTATTTTAAGCTATATTACAAAGCTATACTAATCAAAATTGTATAGTATTTTCATTTGATGAGAACAAACCCATGGATCAATAAAATAAAATAGAGCCTAGAAATAACAACAAAGGAACTAAGAATACACGATTAAGGAAAGGACAGTTTCTTCATAAAATGGCATTGAGGAAACTGGACAATCACATGCAAAATTATGGAACTAGACTATTATCTTATACCATACACAAAAATTAAGCCAAAAAGGGTAAAAGACTTGAACGTAAGACCTAAAGCCATAACACTCCTAGAAGAAAACAGCGAGTTTTTGAATCAAACTTGGGTCTTGGCAGTGTTTTTTTTTTTGGCTCCGACTCTAAAAGTCAAAGCAACAAAAGCAAAATAAATAAGTGGGATTACATCAAACCAAAATGGCTTCTGCACAGCAAAGGAAACCATCAACAAAATGAAAAGGCAACCTGCAGAATGGGAGATCATATCTGCAAATCATGTATTTGGTAAGGGATGAATGTCTGAAATATATAAAGAACTCATACAACTCAATAGCAAAACAGAACAAATTATTTTAAAAAATGGGCAGAGGATCTGAATAGACATTTTTCCAAAGAAGACATACAGATGGCCAACAGACACATGAAAAGATGCTCAACCTCACTAATTATGAGGGAAATGCAAGTTAGCTATCCACAATGAGCTATCATCTCATACCGGTCAGATGACAATTATCAAAAAGATAAGAAATAACGAGTATGGGAGAAAATGTGGAGAAAGGGGTACCCTGGTGCACTGCTGGTGGGAGTGTGAGTGGGCGCGTCCACCTGGGAAAACAGAATGGCGGTTCCTGAACACATCAAAAATAGAGCCATCACATAGTCCAGCAGTTTCTCTGCTGGGTATTTATCTGAAGAAAACAGAAAATACTAACTATTGTAGAAACTATATGCACCTCCATGCTCACTGTAGCATCACTTAGAATGGCCAAGACATAAAAACGGCCTAGGTGCTCATCCGCAGATGAATGGATAAACAAAACGTAGTGTGTATCTATACAGTGGCGTACTATTCAACCATAAAAGACAGTGAAATCTTGCCATTTGCAACATTATGCATGAATCTTGAGGGCATTATGCTTAGTGAAAAAAATCAGAGAAAGACCATACGATTTCACTTGTAAGTGGGGTAAAAACAACAACTACAAAAATCAAGGTTTCAGATACAGAGACTGACTGGTAGTGGCTGGTGGCAAGGTGAGGGTGTGGGGATATATGAAATCGGTGAAGAGTCAAAAGGTACAAAGTTCCAGCTATAAAGTACAATAAATTAGTCTTGAGGATATAATGTAGAGTATGGTACATTATATAATACTCGATTGCAAGTTTGAAAGTTGCTAAAAGACTAAGTCATAAAAGTGTCCATCACAAGAAAAAAATTGCAGCTATGCATGGTAGTGGAGGTTAACTAGACTTACTGTGTTGTGCATTTCACGATACATAACAAGTGTCAAATCATTATGTTGTATACTTGAAAGTAATATAATGTTATATGTCGGTGATAGCTCAGTATAAAATTAACCAAATTTATTAAACAACAAAAACATGGCTGCCTATGCTATTTCTCACTCACCTTGCTAGCAGTTACTGTCTAGAAGCCACAAGTCCCAGACAGTAATGCTACATCCCACCCAAGTGTCATAAGCGGGGCTTGTCATCATACCCACCTGCAGTGAGAAAGCTGGTGCTGGGGTGGGTTCGTGTGTCCAAAGTCTCTGAACCAGCAAAACCCAGAAGTTGGAGAGACAGATACCTTCCGTACTCTGTTCCCGGGTGTGGCCCTGACCCTGTCCAGTCTGTGTGGGGGCAGATGCGGCAGTAAGTAGGTCAAGTCCCCTCACTGCTCCCTGGCCAAGGCCTTTTTTTTTTTCCTATAAGGGAAATAGGTGGTCTTTTCTCAGGTGTCAAGAGTTAGGCCAGTTTTTACTTGAGGGATAGGAAGGGAGAGGTATCCATGGGATCTCCAAATTGGGCTGGAGCAGAGGGGCTAGAGATGCAGGCTTGAAAATTGAATATGTTTCTGTCTCTCCTCAATGGCATGGAGTGTGTGCTTCCCAGAAGGCTGGAGTAGGAAGCTGAGAAGCCCCAGGTTTTCTGATTCCCCTGTACTTGAAGCCTCAGTGAGGTCTTGGGGTAGCTTCCTTTGGGTGTGAGGGAGCCTGCATAGTCAGGTCCCCCCCCCACCCCCCCGACTGCCAGACACTGTCCTCCCACCCTGCCTGCCCCCTACCCAGCCGCACCAAACTCCACGGTCCCACTCCCCAGTCCTCAGCCCTTCCTGAGACCAGGCGTTTGTCTCGGTTCCCCCTCTCTGATGGAGAAAGTCAGGGACTGTGGTGTGAACAGTTCACCCATCGTGGGGTGGACAGTTTGAGAGGCCACAGGCTCTTTCTTTGTTTGGAAAATTCCATCCCATTCCTCTCCCACCTCCGGACTGTGTTCTCTTCCGAAGAAAATAAAGGGCCTCTTCCTATTCCAGTTTCACCGTCTCGCAAAAACATGGTAGCATAGTTTAAGATGAATTGGTTTTTACTTGAAGCTTTTGTAATTGCTACTTTGTCTTTCCACTTTGCCTATTTCTTCATTTCCCGACCCCTTTCTCGTTCCAGTCCTCTCAATGTCATGCTCACTCTCCCCTCATCCTCTCCTTCTGTCGTCCCCTATCTTTCTGTACTGCCCCAAGCCCTTAACCCAGCCCTCCATTCTCCCTGCTCCTGCCTCTGCCTCCTTTGTCCCCGTCCATACTGAATGTGTTTCTCCTTCCCCTCACCTTTCCCCACCTCCCTGGCCCCTTCCACAGTTTTGGATCAGCAGTTTCCAGTGGAGATCAGGAGTCCTGCCCATTCTCTGCACAGCAGCCAGTGGGGGCTTTTAGAAATATAATCTGTACTGAAACTAATGAATGTCTAGACAATTTGAGCCTCAAGATTAGGAAAGGAAAAACTGGGTGTGTGGAGGAGGGGCACGGGGTACACCGCTCATACATGAAGGCATTTCAATGGCTGTATTATTATGCTCATTTATCAACTTGTGGCTGATCATCATTTCAGTGTGCCATCTTTTGAAAGGCAACTGGCTTTGCGTGGAATTTCACCTTGACAGCAACAGGGCACTAGACTTACCCGGGTTGACCC